TACCTACCCGACCAAACGCCCTCCCCACTCTAGCGTTTCCGACCTTGTTTCCCAAACGCTTCCCAAAAACTCGGTAATGAGTCCTAACAACTCACCGAAGGTATCACCGTGCGGAGCTCAGCTCACGCAGTGTGTTAGTTGAACCAGTAAGGACGACGAATGAGACTCACTTGTGTCTCACTGTGTCGCATAAGTCAAAATTGTCATAGCGCACGTAGTCCTTACTGTAGCTCGCACTCTGATACAAACGGCAGGAATTCATTCAATAGCAGGAATTCATTTTGTAATAGCCAGACAACATCATGTTCGGTTGTTCAATCCCAGGTTCGCATCGCGAAAATTCTAGAATGACTCTCAGAACTTTCCCTGGCTGAAGTTTCCGTCTACACTACTACAATTGCAACTACGCAATTCGAATTTCGGAACCGATTGTGTAGTGGAGTCATTTGATGTCACTGCACTTTATACGAACGTCCAAAACGAACAAGCGCTACAGGCCTTATCCGAAATGTTGGATAGGTATGTGGCTGCCATTGACACCTTTGGACTTAATAAAGTGCACATCATGACTCTGGTTGAAGAATGCTTGCGTTGCAATATCTTCAAATGGTCAGGACAGTACTACTCTCAAGTAAGGGGTTTGGCGATGGGTCAGCGACTAGCACCAGTACTTGCTGTCTGCTTCATGAGCAGAATTGAAGAGCCAGTACTGAGTCGCTCTCCTTTGATGTACTGCAGGTATATCGACGACTGCTTCATTGTAACATCAACACAATCCGAAATGGATGAGTGTTTCCGATTACTCAATGAGCAGTCGCAGTACATTAAGGTCACACGAGGGAATAAATGATGAGCGAGAAGTACCAAAACACGGTTGGCTACCATATCTGAATACGCAGGTGAAGCTGTCCAACGGCATTGCTAACGTGAAATGGTACCGCAAACCTAGCTGTAAAAATATCCTGATTCACGCAACGTCTTCACATCCTGCTGCAGTGAAACGTGCAGTCATTAGGAACATGATCACAACAGCAAGCCACACTGATGTTACAGAGCGCGAAGAAGAACGACTAGAGTCAAGAGCTCTGGCTTCAAAAATTGCTAGAGAGAATGGTTATGCGGTACGAGACCATCGCAGGACATCGAGTGCTAGCCTACGACATGTATCACGCCAATCCGCCAACCAGCAAACATCAAAACGCCAACTTGTGCGCCAACAGACTGTACGACAGACAGTGCTTGACACCAGACTGCGTTATCTGCCCATATGGGAAGTTAGGAGATTGCGGGAAAGCTGGAGTAATTTATCAGCTTGAATGTAGGGCGTGTAACAGCACGTATATCGGAGAAACAGGAAGGGTATGGCTACGCGCATTTGGAGAACACCTAGCTGGGAAAAGGCGTGATATCATGACCACTCCCCTTGGCAAGCATAAGGTGGAGCAGCATAACGGGAACGACTTCGATATTAAATGTTATACTGGCGTACGAGACGGAAACTTCAGCCAGGAAAGTTCTGGAGTCATTCTGGATTTTCGCGAGAAAACCAGGAATGAACAACCGAAATGAGTGTCTGGCTATTACAAATGAATTCCTGCCGTTTGTATCAGAGTGCGAGCTACAGTAAGGACTACGTGCGCTATGAACAATTTTGACTTATGCGACACAGTGAGACACAAGTGAGTCTCATTCGTCCTTACTGGTTCAACTAACACACTGCGTGAGCTGAGCTCCGCACGGTGATACGCTTCCGGTTGAGTTGTTAGGACTCATTATACCGAGTTTTTGGAAGCGTTTGGAAACTTCGAGGTGACAAGGTGCGAGTCGGAAAGACGCTAGAGGTGGGAAGGGCGTGTGTGTGCGGGGTAGGGGAACGAAAGTTGAAAAGTCCGGAGGCCATTGTTCAAGCCTCTTGGAGAGAAGACGAGAAGGTCGAAACGTAAGGCAAATAAAGGTGTCATCTAAAAAACCTCGTTTGGCAGAAGTAACTGACTATTCGACATTGTGGAGCACAATTCAACATTCGACAGGTAAAACCTCGTTGTCTTGATGGGACAATATTTGAATTCCGCACTGAGGGCACACTGTGTCGTTTGGAAGTAAACTGATAGGGATTACCGAAGTGAAAGTAATTTTAGGCCATTCATTGCCGAAAAACGCGAAGCCGCAACGTGTCCAATGAGCCGCCGTAAGCCTGTAAATCTGGCTTAAGATTTATTGTGGGTGTAAGTAGCCACGGCTCCCTTATACCTGTATGGCCATAATAGACTACTGGCGGACCGTATGCGCTAAACGAGTTACATTTGTCGCGTGTCAGAAAAGTATCGAAGTAAAGTCAGCATGCAAAACGGCGCATGTCTAAGTATTCTGTGCGCTTCTACTGTCACATAACTCAGGATCAGAACCACACACAATCTTTGAAAATGACAGAAAAAAAGGTGCTCACCTCAGCAACATGGATAGGAGTACTGTGAGCGTTATCGATGCGAAGACCATAGAGGAACATGACGAGCAGCATGTTCTCGAACTAAAAAACTGTTCATGAATAGTCTACTGGAAAACGTACTGATTACGAATGAGTGCTAAAACTTTACAAGGGTCGGAAGGGGGAGATGGGGCATTTGAGGACTTTTATTGCAGAAAGGACCGCGCCGCGGTAAGAGATGTGGGATTTCTGTGCCTTGGGAAAGAGGGTCGTACTGATAGCGGCCGTTTCACCGGCAGCCGAGACGAGTTTTTGAGGCGGCCAAGGAATATAACTTCGGATACCTCCAAAAAAGGCACTTCAAGAACGAATGAATCAACGTGGATGTGAAGAGACGGGCGTCGCGCGGTAGCTATATTCGAAAAGGTTTTCTGCACCTCCTCTTTCTTGTTTTGACAGTAGTTGTTCGCACTACTTAATCGGTTCAACTCTGGTTGAGAACCGTGAACTCCTGGTGAAGCTGCAAGAAATTATAAGGTAGCGCGCTGTTTCTTGCCACAGAGTGGTCAGGATCTTTCAGAGATAGCCTGAACTAGGCAGGTCGCTAACATGTACCAATAGGTGGTGCCCCCACGCAAGCCGAACTGGCGCAGAGAGTTTCGCATGAACGGTATTCCAATTGTTCACAACCGAGGATTCCTTCAAATGACCCCGTAACTCTAGCAGCAAGTGGGTCGAATAAAAGCCTAAAAGCATAATGTTACAAGCTAATAAAAGCATATGTAAAAGTAATAAACACACGTGTATTCCTTCATGTACTGCCAGAGATATGGACAGTCTTCCGGTTTCTCGCCGTAATTCAACTTGATCGAGTCTCCCCAACAGACCAGTTCACGGCGCAGATAGACCTTCAACACTCAATTACTAAATTGAAAGTAAGTAGTAGTAGTAAAGTGGTGGGAAAAAGTGGAATGGCACTGCCCACCCTTTACAGCTCAACTTACGGAGTTTGAGCAAGAATCTTTTCGGGGCAGAAATATATCCCCGAGGTGGTCTCTCATCAACTTAGAGGGTACCCTGTTGCGCGAGCGTCAGGCACTTCCGCTCAAGACGTATGTGACTTTCGAGAGATCAAACTATTTCCTAGTACAAACTTCCAATTAAAGCCGGTCTAAGGATATAAAGGGGTGAAAATTTAGTCTGAATTCTTAGAAGTGAGGAGTTGTAAAGGACCAATAGTACCAGAAAATAGCTCACCTGCGAGTTTGGTAAAGCGAAGTTCTCCAACGGATTATGGCACATCACCCACCCGTTGAAAGCCATCAGATACCGAGACCTGTCCGGATCAAATGCCAATTTCTCCTCCTCTTCCCATGAATCCAAGGGCTCGGTTTGTAAGAAGTAGCTGAAAAGTAGCAATTCCGTTTTTTTCTCCACGCAGGAATAAAAAGTGACAGACTCTGTGGTAAGTTTGTGTTTTGGCGTTACAGCTCCATATTTTGGACCATCGTCGGCTAAGCGCTGATAGTAAATGTGTCCCATCATAGCTCGAAGTCCTGCCATGAGGATTTCCCAAGCTTCTTTTCCAGCTGGAAATAATCAAATTAGGTTGTGTGCCATGGAGCAATAACCTACCGAGTTTCTCACCTTCGCCGTTCAAATAGTGCAGATGATAAGTGAAAGCATCTACACACTTCGCTATGCGGTCATCTTCTGACGAAGCGTCATCCCTAGTAAGGATAGAGATAATGGAATCGTTTTAAGTTAATATTAAAAGTTTTGGGATATTATAGATATGCGCGCAGTCTTCGTTGGCGGTATGGGCGGAGACAGTCAACCATGGCTGCCTCATTGGTGCGCTCATTTTTCTAAGCCAACAAAGAGGAGAATCTCTAAGGCGAAAGGCTCATTGGTTAAAGATCATCTCCCAGAGTTGACGCGAGATCTTCAAAAAGTAGAGGACAAACCTGTTTCTATTGAAAATTCGCATCGCTTTGTCCCAATCGACAGACGATCCGAATCGTCGCCATTCAGGATCTTGTGCAATGGGTAGGAACTCGTCAAGAGGCTCTGATGAAGGTCCTTGCGCTGAAACAGAATAAATTATGGCGTAGTTCGGCCAGGGGGGCACCAACTAGTACTCAGCTAGGTTTGTACAGGCTGCATTGTAAGAACCTATGAACTCTGGCGACCAAAAGCCTACTCGAACAGTTTCTGCAGCTCCACAAGAATTTTGAAGTCTGACCAAATGAGACCTGTTAGTTAACACTAATTACATCAGCAAAGGGAACTAGCGAAATTGTGAAATGCCCCTTCTAAGCGGAACACGGCCAAAATTATTCATTTGGTTTTTAACCGGATATAATGGCGCGACGGATCAAAGGCGTACCACAGCATTTCAGGATCACAGCATTTCAGGAATACTTATCCGCCTGTGGGGGAGGGTGAAATGGCAGAAGCCTTGCCTCGGAGGATAAAAATGCCGAGTCAAAAATGGTAGCCCCTCACAGGGCATTGTTCAGAGAAAAAAAAAAAGATTTCAATGCCCTTCTGATTCCCACTAAAAGTCGAATGCGTAGTGCCCTGAAGCAACTTGATCAACGAAGAACACTTTATCTCCTACTTCTATCTTTCCTAATTTGGTACGCTATCTTCAGCCGGCTAAAAAATAAACTGACAAAAAAGGTGTCAGACTCCGCCCTAACTTTGGCTTTCGAACATTTTTAGTCTCGTCAAGCCAGGCCAGAAAACACCCAAGACGCTTAGAAAACCGTCGTGTGGGTTAGGAGATCCGAATCGTGCCAACACACAAAAACTAGTTCGACGCGCGTAGCTTTTGTAGCACTTACGCAGCACTTCAGATTAGGTTCTGAGGGGAACGAGGAGCCCTGCACGACATCTCTTGCAGCACTGTTCTCGCTGCAACTTGGATCTCCTGACGCACTTTCATAAGATAAATACCTCTCGCCATTTCCTCGAACTTCTTGACATTTTCCTCAACGTTCACTTGGAAGAACTCATGTAGACGGATTTTTGGGAGCACTTCGGTTCGCAGGATGTATTCGATAGCCTGCAGAAGCTTGATTAAGTCTTGAGGAGAAGCATGAAACTGAATGAAACAGTTGTAAACCGATTACAATCAACTCATGCAGTTGTTCCAGAGGTGCATCCCACGCTAATGGTATGGGCGAGACCAGGTAGGCAGTGTGTTCTCCTCATTGGGAACTTCTCCACTTTACTGGGCCAAAAGCGTGGGTCCGGCTCCGCCCATAAGAACAGCGTGGAATGTGTAACACTATGGAAAACAGTAAAGGGACCCACATTCGTATGATGCACATTATCGACAACCTCTGGTACTCCACGAGAAGCCCACTTTCCTTCACTGACTTCGCGTCCAAAGTGGTGATAGACCCTGCATAAGATAATTTACTATCCATGAAATTTGATTTTTCGTCCTCCTAAAATACATTTGGTATTTATTTTAACTGAGATCAGGGGAATTGGGACCACAAACATCAATAAACTAGAATCTCATTAATCAATTGATTGTTTTTCACATCGATGTTTCTACAAATCACTATAGAAACGTCAAGTGGGAAACTGTCACCACTGTGAGAAAAAACATCAGGTGTTTCACTTTACTACATGTCATTAATATCAGTTGCTCTTCGCCTACGGTCAGTGAACTTTGTGTTTTCAATCGACCAACACTGAATGAGAAACATTACAACACAAAGCAAATAAAGGGTCAAGAAGATGGGATGAGAAGTAAACAAGGCGCAGTTCGGCTTGGGGGGGGTTTGTTCTGCCTTTTCGACGCCTTGTGAAGCCATGAAGCGATATCAGTCAAATTTTGTGGAGACCACTTTTTAACTCAATACCTCTCAAGTCTTGTAAAGCAATGAACCGACGATGGGAAGTAACAAAGTGGGAAATGCCCCTCCCGAGCTGAACTGCGCCGTAAACGTTATTCCTCAGAAAACTGCTGTCGATTGAATGGGGAAGAGGTAAGGCGGGGATATATAGCGCATTGCACTTCACAAAGGTAGTTACGATCCTGCCTAGCTACCAAATACGGTACCCTGGGGTTCCCCAACGTACGACGTGCCCCTGTAGAAGATCGATTCCGCTCTAACCGTTGTTCTCCGACACGGTCATATTTCAAATTAGGCCTTTATACACCATTTTCTGCTCGCTTCGCTTCTCGTACCATAAGCTCTTTTACACAGATCCCTCTGCTCCATACAATAGCCGTATCACCTGCAGCTCTAAGACACATTGCCGTGACATACATTACTATGAATTCGAAATTTCGACTTTGAATAACAGGCACAGATCGGAACACAATGTCATATGTAGGAACTCGTTATTTCACAATTATTTTTTTATAACTATAGGAAGTACGCCATGGAAAATTTCAGAAGAGTGAAGAACCTGAAGCCATTTAGCGTTCTTCGCAGCATGATTCCAGACGACATCTTGAATAGTTAGCATGTTCCATTCCTTTTCAAGCTTCTGTACCATCTTCTCCACATCGTCAAAGGTGACCTGATGATCTTGCTGAAACAATGAATCCAAGTGAATTGCCGTCAAACGAGTCTGAACTTAGCTATTAAAACAAAATAAGTAAATACAGTAAATACAGTTTGGCTTGATAGGGGGAGCTAGAGGAACGCGGGTAAAGCATTTCGGTACATCCCATTGTCGTGTCGAGCCTCAAGCACTTATTTGTGAAATCGAGTAAAAGCACGAAGTGGTACCAACTAAAGTTTGTAGGAACTGAAGTTTGTAAGAACTGACAGCTCTCGTAGGAATACATGTCAACCCTTGCGAAGCGATGAACACGACAAAAAATTTTTGTAGGAACTGGACAAGCTCTCGTATAGGGAATACATGCCAACCCTTGGACGATGAACACGATAATGGAAGCAGCGGATGCCAAATGGTTCCCACCCCATCCCGAAACTGCGGCAAAAGAAAAAAAAAACGCCTCCCCAAATATTAGGCTGCAGGAAAGTTCTTCATACTTTTTTGAACCAAGAGTCGCCCATTACCTGAGAGAGCTAACGGTAATGTGAGCATTTATACATAAAGGACTGTCGAACGCCCAACAAATAATGGAGCTGCACAAGGGACAAATGTCTTTACAGTCATCAGACAACCTATTCAGACGCTAGCTCTTCAGAGCGGGAGCCTACGTTCGAGTGACGAAGTGAGGTTCGGGAGTACCTGTAAACTCAGCTCTAGATAGCGGTGGGTCGGGAAACTACTGGATGAAGAAGCTGCCTCCTCGGTCAATCCGTACGCAAGGCAGCTACGAGATCTGAAGCGAATCGTCAAGCAGAGGGCAAAATCCATCGGCACAGTCCGTCTTCAACGTGCTGGTGCAGCACACCCGTCAAACAAAGTTTGAGCCGTACTTCATGCATAGAGCTGGATGGCTCTCCCCTTGCACCGGTGTGGTCCAGACATTGCTCTTTCTGACTGCTAGTCGCCTCCCGTATTCAACCGTTATACAGCCGAGAAAACCTCCACGACTTGAGCCCAAGTCAAAGTTGAGATGATGTCCAACTTTGCGTCGCGCCGGCGTCCGGCGTGCATTGTTAAGCGATGGCATCCACGAACTGTCCAAAAACTGGCAAGGATCTCTCAATAACATTGCTGTATAATTTTGATCTTGTACGCCTCTCTGTAAAAAAAAAGTCTAATTTGAAAAAATGTGACAGAACTTTCCCGCCAACCTAATAGAATGGAGGAAAGGCAGAAACTCAGTGTTATGATGGCAAGGCAACTATGTATTCTCAGTGATGAATTCAGATCGAACCTAATCTCACAGTCCACGATGATCGCGCGGCCAGGTACAGGAGGGAGGGGGACATAATCGTACTTTTCTCGTAAGTGCCTTTAACCTCCTCATTACTCTGAAATAGATGGGGGCCAATGAGAGAGTATATGCTTTCCGGCTACGCCCACTCTGTCACTCCTCCGTTTAAGACTCTGCTAAATGAGATAATCCTAACAATCTCCGCCTAAAATAGAGCACTTCTAAATATAATAAAACGAATGACTTCAAGGAGAGCAGAATTATTGAATTTGGTTGGGGAGAAGGTCATGAGAGCTTAATGATGTGGAATGTAATGACAAGTGCTGCATTTGATACCAATCACTTGAAGACAAAGCGTTTTCAGTTCGCAATTAATCTGGTCGGTGCGTTGAGAATCCATGACGGCGACGACACCTATAGACATAGCTAAACAGGGCACAGCATATCGATCAGGGATTTTTGTCGATCTTTACGACCCCCCCCCTCCAAAACGTCCGCAAAGCGAGAAAAATCAACTATAAAAATAAATTTTTCCCAGCCCAAATACGACCCCCCCCCTTTTTTGGCGGCCAAATACGACCCCCCCATAGGGAATCCCCATCGAACGGCTGCTGCCCTGTAGTAAAAGTAGCTGCTATCGGACAAAATGCTTCTGCTTTTAAAGCAACACGTCCTGGTTTGTGAATGGCGCGTACATGAACGCCCACTTTTTTGACACCACACTTTGAATCTCCCAGACGAAACCCATAAAATCCGGGTTTATCGCGAATATTATGAATCTCGTCCAAGTCCAGAAGGCTATCCGCAAGGACCTGTGATGGTTCGCTTACCTCGTGGATTGTCTGGATGAGAGCATGATGATCACTGAGAGAGTAGCTGCTGTTTGAGATACCCAATTCATGTATCGGGGTAAGATGTATCATATTGTAGCCGCTTTCCTTTGAGACACGTAGGCGATCTTCCCAACACGAAAGGCTACCTGAATGGGAGCCAATTGAAGCGCTCATATGGCACTCAGAATAAATGCATCGAGTTACTGGGAAATCGACCACTTTGTAAAAAAAGAATAACAAGTTTACCTCCAAGTTAAAGCTTTACTAGTAGTTTTGTAATATGTGTTTGACAGCAATTTCCATCAAGAGGGGTGGGAGGCGTTTCCCGTTCACCGTCAAACTCTAGGCATCACTTAAGAGTAGCGCTGGCCGCTTCTCTAAAGTGAAAAATTGTATTGGTAAACAAACTCCTTGGTATAAATGAACTCACTCATCATCGGCTGTGAAGGTGGTTGGATTTTGGGGGGTGGCACTTGATAAGAAGCCGGCCTCAGGGTTGTGCATTCTACTTGACAGTAAACTGCCAAGTGATCAGTACCACTGGTCCATTTCAACGGCTCATCCCCGGTCAGAGTCGTTCGAATCTTTACGTCCACTCCCAATAGGGATCCTCCACGATGGAAACGTACGATTTGTCCTGAAATTTCAGGAAACTGCGTTTAAAAAGGCGTTTAAAGAAGGAAAAGAATTCGAATACCTTTCTCAAGTCGCCGAACTCGCGTAGTCAAGTGCTTCCTTCCCCAATACAATGATGCGAATCTGTGGTTGCTTCGTCGTCCCCATATCGTCGATGTCTCCTTAAAATTCACTAGTGAAGAAGGAGGAACTGATAAGGGGTATAAGTTGGTTAAGAGGGTGCTATGAACACGGACGTATGAAAAAACTAGCAAGAGGATTACATTAATGATTCCTTCCTGATACGCAGATAAACGAGAAAGGACACAGCGAAAAGTCATCTATTTTCAGATTGTCATGTTCTGCCCTTACCGGCACTCTGCTCTATGAGAAATCAAAGGAAGAACCTGTGCTCAACCATTCCGTAGAACTCCTTCTTTGCCCAGGTATTCCGAGGCGTAGTCGCCAAGATTACAAAGCTTGGCCGTATTACAGAACTTATGAGGGCGCTGTGGTCAGCATAAGTCGCAGTTATATACGGCGTACAGCACAGTATACCGCATATAACTGTAACTTTTTATGCCCGTAGAGCCTCATACTCATGCGGAGCCGCATAAATGTTGACAAGCTTTAAGATTTAAGGTCATGCCCCGGACTACTTGGGCGGGGAAGGAATTGGTTGAATGCTACAGATGAGGTGCTCTAAGCATCTACATGTAGCCGAAGGGGTCGGATCGAGAAATTTCACTTGAGCGACCACGGCAAAAAGTATTCTCGCGCGGCCATGCCTGGGTGGCTAACTTGCCTTACGTGTGGCGTTTTCGAGTCATAATAGAGTTTGACGCCCTGATGTTTGATTGTACACGTCCACTTATTAGCGCGACATTGTGTGGCTATCGTCTGGTTGAACACCGCGAGCTCATGACGCAACAAGCGATAGAGGAGCAGCCCGTTTCATATGCGCAAAAGTCTGGCGCGGTCAGTTACTCAAGAAGCCCTTTTCCGACCAGGGCACTAATACAGGGGGGGGGGCAAAAAAAGTCACTTTATCCGAGTCACATATCAGCAAAGTTTTCGCTGCCCAGACAGAGGACGTGGATACGAGTACCAGGGCGGAAGATACCCAAGATGTTCCTCTATAAGCAGGAGCTGGCTCTCACCCATCACCTTCATGTACACCAAAATATGAAGTCATCTCCAGTCGCAGCCTGACTGGAGAAGACCTTCGGAATTCATGTCACCTCCAAACAGCTGCGAAACTTCTAGTATGGAGTCACCCATGGATAGCTACCTGGAGACCAGTACTCTCGATCTGGAGGACCTCCAGCACGAGCACTTCGACAACGTCACCACGGTCTAGGACATCATCTTCACCCCAGTCGCCAAGGCGCTGGTTGACGGTATGGACCGGACGTACCTGGAATGGAAAGACCAATATTTTCTTCTTTCCTGGACCCCGGAATAAGGTGAGCGCTGGCGGTTACATTGGGCAACTCGTGAAGAATATCCTCCTCACATGTGGTCGCCCGTACCTTCTTGGAAACTTTGTACTGCTACAGCATTGAGTGCCACCACATGAAATCGAAGGGCGTTGGAGAAACACTCGCCTACTTGGAATGGAGGGGCGTTGAGTACCATTAGAGAAGATGGAATAATGCAAGTATGGTCACCCTGACCGAATATCATCAATCAGCCGCTTCGGGCGGAGCGTTCAATTAGGGTGGCCTACGTGATGCGGAAAATCGACTATCTCGCTGATCTCAGGCACCACATCGGTCGCGTGCCAGAATCTCTCGATGGCGCTCGTCCAGAAGGCTGTGGCGGAGTGTCATGATAGTATTTGATATGCTCTTCAATATGGTGGTAAAAATGTCCGATCAGAATTTAATAAAGTGTAACTTATAGCGCCTCGAAAGTCAATGAAGAAAAGTGACTTTTTTGGCCCCCCCTGTACATATCTAAACTGTTGTACATAACGTCATCAAACTGGAGGCTTCATTTTTCAGAACTGTGTTTTTATGAGCTTTTTGAATCTCTAGAGTTGTCAAATTGTGTACTCCAAGAGAGAGTAGAACATGGCGATGGACCAAAACTTCCTCATGACCCCGAACCGCAACCTACCCACCACTTTACCGAATTCTTCCAACTTCCTAAGAATTTCTTTTCGCTAGTTCTTTCCAGGAAAAATTTGTTGAATAAGGCAGTAGAGGTCCTCTTTAATCAACTATCGGACGCATCGGTTATATAGCAGTTTTTGTCGCCGCAAACTAAGGAGTTGGGAGGAGTTGACTCGCGCGAGGCAGACGAATCCTCCTCGCAAGTCGGAAAAATTTATCTGTAAGCAAGGCATGACGAGGAGAACCCCATTAGGAGGGAGGAGGTGTAAGCCAGACCTCCTCCCTCCTAATGGGGTTCTCCTCGCCATGCCTTGCTTCAGGAAGATAGCATAAAACGAAAGATTCAGCAAGATCATTCTTGAACAACACCACGTCATACAATTCTCACAGTTACTGTAAGCAAAACTCAAGACATTAAATACCACATCAAGAAAGTCATCCGAAACAAAATTACAAAGGTGCGTCGTAAAGCCATTCAATGCTTTGCAACACCTCGTTGCAACAATGAAGGGAGCCTGGTCTGCATTGGCTTTTCTTGCACTTCTCGAAGCGCTAGAACAGCTGTCGTTATTCAAAAAACGACGTGTAGTGAGTACTCGTTTCCTCAACATTCTCTCTTGGATGCGCCGCACATCCAGATTGTGTACGAAAGTATCATACTAGACATAGACCTCTCACAAACCACGTTACCTAAAATGGCAGGGTCGTGGATAACAGCCAAGGGAGAGCATAAGCATGACTGGACCACTCGGCTTTTCTTCTCGTCTGTGCCCGCAGACTTCTCGAAAACCGCTACGCTGGGAGGGATCAGCCCAGCACGAGAAGGGCTCAGAGTCCCTCGCCAACTTATCCCTACCTCTTCTCAGTCACCTCTTTCCAGAACAGCATAGACAGAATTCGTACAGTCACCAAAACAATGCGTTGCGTGAGTTCACAGCGATAAAAATAGATAAAAGACGGAGGCTCTGCCACTGAACACTTTTTTTGGGCGCATTCCGGCGACGGGGGCATTTTGCTTTCCACTGTCGACCCATCTAGATAGCCTTTTCTCGAGTTAACACGTTTTACCATGGTGGCTAGACGAGCTTGCTCCAGCTTCACCAGAGTGAGACTTGTAAACCGGAAGTAGTGAAGCAGTGAAAGTGCCAGATGCTCCCACCCTGTCGCGAGCTGCGCCCCCTCTTTGAGATGCGGCACGCACCCACTTCCATTCAGACTTCGTGAGATTTTTGTACGCGGTATGGCTTATACAATAAATTCCTGGAGCCAGCCGATGTGCAAGCTAGCAAGTTAGTCATCACAGGAATGCTGAGTTATGGGCAAAAGTCGACCCCAGGTGGGAGTCGAACCCGCACCTCACGCTTTCCGGGCGAGTGCGCTATCCGTTACGCCACCAGGGCCGCTCTTACCTTCCAAGCTTGACGGCTTTTATGACCGTAGCCTTAAGGCACTCAAAGTTAGTGCTTTTATCCTCCCAGACGAGTCTGCTACCATTTTGTCTTCCCCAAAGGGAAAAAGGCTTGTTTGGCATGAAGGTGAGTTTATCCAAAATTTGAACCCCGGAAAGCGCTTCCAGTAAGATTGCCTCTAACCCTTACACCGCCTCCGCCTCGTCCACAATAATATTATTTAATTTTGCATGATACCACAGATTTTTCGAGTAGAACCCCGACACAGCAGTCCTTCTTAGGTGACAACGTTTTCAGGCAAAAGTAGTACAAATTTCGAAAAACGTTTGCCTTTTTTGTTTACCTTCTGTCAGACGAGTCAAGGGCAACCACGACGGCAAATGCAGCTTTGCTGTAATAGTCCGCTGTAATTTCTCTTTTACGAGTCGAGAAATGAGCAGTTCGGTGCTTTGTTAAAGATCGTATGACTTTTATGGTCACTTACAACATAATACAGAACATAGGTTACTTCATTTCGTCTTGCAGTTTTGATGACATATAATAACAAGGATTTAAATTTAATATTTATTAGGTGTTCGGGGGGGGGTAATTCTTCAAAGTATATCAAGCAGAACAATATTCAAGTTCGTAAGGGGAAGTTTTTTGAACATCAAGCGTCCGGCAGAAAGCATACTAACAATAATGAAATAAAACCAGAATTATTGAGTAACAAAAGCATTTTAAAGATATCGTAGAAAAATTTGGCAGCATCTCCAAGACATAAAGCGAAAGGAGCAGTCGGACAGAGGTTGAGACCGCCTTTAGAAGCAGGGGTACTCAACTACCTGGACTTATTTTTGGACCTATTTCTGAACGATCTTTCTTAATGCATATATGTAACTGTTCTCCCCGGAGCCTGGCTGAAGGATAGAATTAACTGGCTAGGGTGCCAGAAAAATAGCCTCATGAAAGAGATAAAGGATAAAGTCTTCGCCGCTGATCAATTCTTATTGCGACACGCATTCTACCCTCAGTCACTGGCTAAATGAGTACAGTGCGGCTTATACAACTGCTTGCGGAGGTCAGCCGATGCACAAGTCAGTGTTCTTATTCTCCCAGACGAATCGGGTGCCAATTTATCGTCCCGAAGGATAGATGGTTTGGTTTGCCTAGGCGAGAACCGATCCCGAATTTGTTAAGTACCGAAAGCTATAGAAAAATTATTAAACTTGAAACAAAATTCGGAGACTTGTGTCTTTTGAAAATGTGAGGGGCACTCGGCATAAGTGGGGGCGTCTTCGCTGGTTCCCCCTGGATAACTGCAACCGCCGATGCCATGGTATACCAGGTTTCACTGCATGGAGTGGACGTGTGAATTTTGAAACAGGACTACAAAAACAAAAACGAATGTGGCCGAAAAATGCACCCTCCCCCCAAGCCGAATTTCAGCCGATCAGCGCCGGGATTGGTTATTCAGTTTCATGCTATTTTTGAACACTGAGATTCCTGACTCTATTCCGTACAAAAAATAAGAAACTACGAAGAGAATTGAAAAAGGGATCGTTAGTTGAAGAAAATGTAAAAAATTAAAACGAAAACGAGCAGTGTTAGTGAACTCGATACAATGAATCATTCGTTCAAGCTACCCATCTCTGCTAGTCGATTGGCAGGCACCACACCTGCTCGTTAACACAAAAACGCCGAAATGAACTCTAGCGGTTCTCATGAGGCACTAACTTGGTAGCAATGGCACAGGATGAACTCACCCTTTCGTCATTGAATATCAGAAGCAATGCACGACACCTAAGCTGTGGCAAGTCGCTTTGGCCACGGCAA